TGGATCAAGTTCAAAGCTAATTTTAGTATTTTTCCATTATCGTATACGAGCCAGGAAAGCCCCAAACACTAGTCAACCAGAACAGCTACCTTTTTCTCGTTGCGGTGCCTTATCACCCCTGACCGCTAGTTATTTGCACTGCTCTCATCGCTCCGCTCATAATTTATATGCGCCGTAACTGCGATCTCACTCTTGGTGTCACATTAACTACCTCTCTTTGACATAACCCCTCCCCCTTCTCCTACCCTGCTAAGCACTTCCAATGGTCCACAAAACCCTGTGTCTGCGTTCAGAGGAGCGTGGTCGTCGTCGTTACGCGTCCGGGTGCTGTCACAATATTGCTATGAGCAGGGATGGGCGCTCGGCCGGTCTCTGACTACCATCCATCTTGTCATGTCATCCATCCTTCTCATCCCCCTCAGACCCCCCTTCTCCCCCTCCTATCGACCCCCTACACACACTGATCGATCAATATCTATTGGTATACCGCTCCGTGTTAATTCGGTTGATTTATAGGATTTGTGTGTCTCGCATGCTATCAATCTCATTATTTACTCAATTAACGCGCTTGATCAAACTGCTCCGACTTTATCGTAGATGTGCGAGGTCATTGAGTAATGAGAAAGTGTGTTAGATTCCTGGCTCTCGGTAAACTAACTTAGATCTTGTCATGGCTGTAAAAATTTAGAACTTCAAAAATGAAATTTAAGCCTTCAGAAAAAGCGCAAAAAATTTGATTCTGAAAAAGTGAGTTATCCTCAAAATTGCGGACTCAGCATTCTGGAAACTTCTCCTTTGTAATCAAGCAGGTCAAGAACCATCTTGTGTAAACCCTAAGTAGTGGAATATATCGTCTTCCATATAAATTCTCGAAAAAATCGATTTTTCACTGTTTCTTGGACTAGTCTGGGTTACGGTAACTGCAATTTTTCCGGCACCCACTCAAATTTTTCCATTTCTCCCTATTTCCGTTCAGTACCACCCACATATCTATTCTCTACATTTTATTTGTGTTTTATTCAGCAGTATTCTATTTCATCGGATATTCAATATATACCGCATCTAGTCGAAGTCTAAATGCATAAACAATTTTTTCATGCCTCAAAATATTGACTCCTTTGGTGCCTTTCCTATTTTTGGGATTTTTGGAGATCCTCCCCCGCTTATTCTACTTTTTTAAATTTTTGTAAATAGATACCGCTCTCTTTCTGATAAATTCTTCATTTATGGCTCGTCCGCACAAAGGCAAATCCGCTTGCATCTCCTCTATTTGTCGATCTACTTAACTCGCGCTTTAAGCGTTCGGCTTAATCTTCAATCATTTGTTCGATGCCAAGATAGACGGAGTAAACAATAGTGTGGTTTTATATTACTAGGCAATTTCCGATGATTTTTTTTTGAGTGGTGATATCGATTTTTCAAGAAATATTTGTCTAACTTTGCCTGGGAGTATGGATTTTTCTAGTTAAACAGTGTTTTACAACGCAATTTGAACCTCACTACCCTAGTCCATACCCTTACCCTCTTTAATTTACCCTTCATACCTCCAATATCGAACCATTCAAATAATGCCGAACCCTTGAGAGTACAGCCGTCTCTCCTTTGCTCCATTCCGGCGCGTGCCTGTTAGCATTTGTAATTCATCTTAATTGAGCGATGAACCTATCATAGAGCCCCAGCACTGTTCCCCCCCCCCAAAAAAAATGAACACAAACATTGATGAATTTGATATCTTTGCACAGATGTTAGTTGTCTCAGCTCAGCTATGGTATCACATCCAGGTTTCTCGAATTTTCTGCTAAATATTCTTCTGGATTTGGGCCGATGCCAGACGCGAGCGAGCGATTTTCAACCTTGATTGATGTTGTCGATGGCCCTCCGACCTGCTAACCATTTATCATGTTCCTGCGTCGCTAGATCATTTCGAGACCACATGGGAGAACTGCCTATTCCTGAGGATTTGCTCGTCCCTATCATGCTGAATCCCTCCATTCTTTAGAATCTGTTTATTTTCGATATTCTACAAAAAGCAGCAATCTTCTCCACGTGGTGGATTAGTTCCCTTTCTCAGATGAGGAGCCGATTTTCGGTTTTTTTTGCAGGACTCAATGTATCTTGGAATCTTAGATTAATAGCTTTCCTCTTGTTTTTAAATTGCGTTACGATCAAAACTGGCATGAATTCATAACTTTCCCAACGTCTAAGATTCTCGATCATTGCCATAGCTTGACAAGTGTCGTGCCTCCTTCATTTTCAAATTGTTCCAATTTTTCAAGTCTGTTAGTCACCAGCAACAATTTCATGTCAATCTTGAGGTACTGCACTGTTTTTCAAGTAATTATTTCATTCACTTATGAGCTCTGGCCCAAGATTTGTATTTAAATAGTTCACCGTAATTTCCGGGAGCCCCCCCCCCCTTCTCACCCAGGAAGGTGAGTCACGATTCTTCTAAAGTGGCCTACGTAATCCATGAAATTGTACAAATGGCGTGTTTATACTTTTGAAACTGAGAAAATTTTTGAAATGGAAAAAAATTTTGTTCATTGTTTTCGGCTTATTAGTCCGTAAAAGTTGGGTATTGCAAAAAAGTTTTTGGCAGCATACCGTAATAGATGACTTATTGTTAGTTAACTGATTGTACGGTGTCGGTTAAAATAGAGCCTGATTCAAACTTCATGAGCTAAAGGCATGCAATATTTCTTCTCCATACCTTTTATAATATTAGGTTGGCTAACAACTAATTTCCGTTGCTTTGCGGCTCCTACAAATATTGCAAACAGATTTTTGACCATTGTTTGGTATCTGAACAAAGCAATTCTATTAGTTGAAATCCAAAAAATTAGTCTGTCTATGAAGAAGAAGCGCTAAGAAGTGAGTATCCCAACTTTTTCTTTATGCGCAAACGTGGAAATTTCGTCTTTTTTTTTATTCAAAAAAAATCAGAACGAAAGTTCACAATTTGTGCTGCTATTCCCAAAATAGAGAAAACTTGTGTTGTGTAATCAGATACTACAGTAAGAAAACGAGCTTGAAAACTCGAAGAGCAAACTTTGGAAAATTCAGTCATAATTGAGCATAATCTCCTTATGATTGAAGAATTATGGTTGGTTTATGTTCGATAGTAGAAGCTTTGTACTACTTTCTCTCAGAAAATCACGGATAAAAATCTATAAGGAAAGTTCGTGATTTTGCCAAAACGAAATCATTTTTAGCCAATCTGATAATGAGAACTAGTTAAGATTTCTCAATAACCTGAAGAACTAATAGTTTTTAGATAGCCAAGTACCTCGTGAAGAACGTTTCTGCTTTCTCTAGCATGATTTGAGAGAGTAACTCATTCACTAGCTCGCCCATACCTCAGGCCATTTGCGGTGTCTTCAACACATATCAATGCGCTGCGGCCGGCTTTGTACTCGCCGCCTCGATATGGTACTTTTGACGGCAGATGCCCGGGTTCTCATCGGGTTGATAGCATCCGAGGGGCCCGTGTAACTGCTCTAGGATCCACTGAATTGCTCTCGACTACTTGTCCGACAACGTTTCGAGGGGGTGCTCCTAGCCGTCGTTAGCGATGCACCGTGTCTCAATGCTCGGCCTCTCTATTATCTATTATCTTCTGCTCCTGCTGCTGCTCTTCTATGCGATAATTGCTCTCCGGCCCTCTTAATCCATTGCCAATCCGCTATTTCTACGTTACAAATTCACCTTCGAGTCTAGGAGTCGATATCCGATCCATTAGCTCTTTTGAATTGTCTCATAAAATGCTCTTTTGATGTGATTTACTCTCTTCGCACTGATGTGCAAAGTCAGAACTTCTTTCGAACTCATTTCGCTTAATTGCATCGTACTTTTGTTATCACATTTAAGCAGAGCGGGAGGATGTCCTTTTCATTTTTATCAAAATTTATGAACGAAAGACGGCACTGCGAGTATTTTTTTTTACTTATTTACTGCCTGATTATACTTTCTTCATTCATTTTTGCTCAACTGCAAAATGAGATAGAAGAATTATTTAAGAACTACATAATTTGAACTCCCCCCTCCCTGTTTTTCATCTTAAAAGCTCTTTTCGAGTCTTCTATTCCTTTGCGTATCACTAGCCACAATGCTGTGCTGCTCATTCTCATTTCAAATTTTTCCGCCGATGACACCACTGAGCGAAGTTTTTTTTGAAGACCCAGTAATCCCACTCATTAGTCTTTCTTATAGCGTTGTATAGAAGAATTGATTCTTGGAGTTCTTCTAGTCAATGGGAAGTCCAACTCATCGTCTTTTGTGGAAGAATCAAGCCCACTTTTTCTGCTTTTTCGCAACTTTGCTTTTCAATTTTGGACCACTTTTGAAATAAATATTTTCTGAGTGCTCACTATATTGTAGGAATAAACTAGTAATAAAATTGAAATGATAATGCTTCTTAAGTGTAACCATAGTTAAGATGGAAGAGATTTAGAATATTTTGTGAGAACACTTCATAACGTCACTTTGTTTCGTTCCTTCCCTTAAACGAAGTTTAAAATGAGTTCTAGGTCTTCCCCGGAACTCCTCAGTAAGGATGGAGGACCGTCTTGTATTTACTTATACTTACTTGTTGTTTTTGTAAATCCATAAAGTTTGTTTGATTACATTATTGAGCTTTTTATATAGGGTTCTTAAGTGTCTGGAGGGATAGAAACGAAAAAGTTGGAAAATCAATTTCGCAAGTAATTTTTTTTGCTACGCATCTCAATTTTGCTAATACTTAATGCTTCCACTCTCGAAAACTCATGTACTACAATGATTGTCACAAATAATGTTGTGTATAGGAATGATCCCTCACTTTATTTGTAGAGATATCTGCATTAATTATGATGGCACTAACACCTCTCATCAACCTAAATTCAACATAATGTTATGAATTTTTTTTCAATCGTAGGTGGTCGCTAAGCTCCGTCAGTCGTATGCAAATTCGTTGTTTTCCTTTATTTTGTGTGAACTAGAATATTCTTCATTTCTTTAATTTCAGAGAACACTCATTCAAGGTTTTTGTCTTGCAGACAAACCGCTGTCATGCGGTGTCTCATTCTTTTATGTACTGTATTTCATGCGGTTCGCTCAGTTTTAGATGCTTCATGGTGGTGAGTATATTCATAAAAATAATTTAAACAACATTTTCAATTTTTCAAACTAGTTCTTACTTCTATCTTTCAAAGGCATCCATTTGCATAGATCTTGAATTACGGTAGTCGCAGAACTTCATTCAAGTTATAAAATAAAGATTTCTGCACGTTTTGGATGCAATTTCAAGGAATCAGCTTGACAATCAAGTAGAGACAAAAGCAACCTCAAAGGGTTTTTTGAATAGTTTCGATTTTTTTACGGGAATAATCTTTGGCGCATCGAACGTATGCTGCAGATAGTAACTATTGTTTATTTTCTACGATTGCTAATTTGCAAATGCTAATAGTCTGGAAGGGGGGGGGGGCAAGGCAAAATCAAGAGATTGATTTTCATTTTCTCGCATATATGAGAAAATTTGAATTTTATGAGATGTAACAACGACGATAGCCGGATTTAGTGCCAATTTATTTACCTCTCAAAATAAGTAAAAAATTTTTGATAGCTGATTTGATGCTTTGCGATCTCTTTTCATTATTACGCTGAAAGTTAGGGGGTTCGGAAAACCGAAGATTCTCGAAACAGCGGCTTATTGTCCGGGCTTTGCTTATTTTCAATAAGGTATTATATAAAATGTGGTAGATGTTTGAAAGCAGAAATATAAAATCTGAAACATGGCGGCTAGGAAGAAAAATGAACTATTATAATTGCTTGACAGCTCATCAATCATGAAGATTTCTGCTAAAACTGTTGGGTTGACATCGTTTTGCATAGCGAGCACGTATAGCGTGCAATTGCACAAAAATTCCAATCAGCTGCTTTGTCTCTCATTAAAAACTGTCAATTGTCTTCGTAAATCGAAATCTAGCTATTCCAATAAAGTTTGTCTTCTTTTGCAGGTCATCCGTCGCACAGCTTTCTACATCCCTAGCCGGGCAAAGCGCTAGACCCGTCTGCTCATTAAGAGGGCTGTCGCCAGGGCAGGTACAAGTTGTTACCGTAATTATAAAAAATGCTATTCTGAATCATCGGAGTCAAATTTGATTTTAGGCGAGAATATGCGATCTTTTCAAGGATCACATGCCAGCTGTAGGTCAAGGTGCACAAACGGCAATTCAGGTAGGGTCACTGATTTTTTATTCGGAATATAATTTTTTGGAGTTATTGTGGTCCGGAATTTTTTTCTGGGGTTCCTCTATATATGTGAATACCGTAAGCTTTTCATATTGCTCTTGCACCTGCTACAATCGCTGAACGAAAAAATATTTTTTCAGGAGTGCCAATATCAGTTCAAATCAAATAGATGGAATTGTTCAACACCCTATGGATCCGGAATTGTCGGACCAATTCATAAACTAGGTATGCAACCTTCATTTTTTTCGCGTTTTACCTAGAAACTAGACAGAGATGGTAAACTCTGTCTGATCACTTATTTTGAATTTTTAGGAACGCGTGAGGCTGCCTTCACCTACGCCATCCTCTCCGCAGGTGTTACTCATGAGATTGGCAGAAGGTGTAAACAAGGTATGTAAGATGTTCCAAAATTCTTCGAATTATAGTAGTCTAAGCCCTTAACCAATACTTCAGGGTTTTATGATGTATTTCCAGGATTACTCGCGTCATGTGGTTGCTCAGAAGAAGCAAAACCAAAGAATGTAGCCGACGATTGGACATGGGGAGGATGCGGCGATAACGTAGACTATGGCTATCGATTTGCAAAGTGAGATTGATTTGTTCGTGAAAATGAATCGGTGGACTCACAATAATTGATTTATTCAAAGCTTACTTTGTACATTGTAATGTTACAATTGTTATGGGTTGCTTACAGTATTTTGCGGAACTGATTAAGGCAAAATCGAGAGCGACTAACGTGTCCTTCTGATTACATAATGATTTAAAATTTTGTTAGCAGAATTTCATGCGTACTCTCAAAAATTTACAGGTGACCTTGGGAATTTTAGGCTTAATCTAACAAGGGAAGGATAGTTGGATGCCGCGGCCATTCCTAATGATATGTATACCAAAAAATTCGCCTTCGAATGCAGATTCTGAATCTGTGCTCGAAATCTGCGAAACGATCTTTTGAAGAAAGTTATGAACTTTTTTCCTTGAGAATTTAGCCTACTTTTGGATAGTAAAAATCACCAGATTTGATCTAGCTTACCATTTGATGCTACTGAAGAAAATTTTAGACGTAGTAATACTTATTTAGACTATCTGGATCATACTCAGCATTTGGAAAGGGAAGAAAATTTTTTTATTGATAATTTTGACCCTCCGCAGGAACGCAATTTTGTTTTAATGAAAAAATCATAACTCCATTCAGATTATCGTTTCGCAGATATGAAAGACAGTTTACGAACCAGCATTCAAAAGCGCATTTTTTGGTATACAAATCATTATGAATGGCTACGGCATCCAAGTATCCTTCCCCTGTAAGAATTAGAGAAAGTTTGAAGGAAAAGCGCTAGATCTTTCACTTTTTTCAGTGGTAAAGGATTTTATCGTTTGCTTTGGATTGTACAAAACCAAAACGATAGCAAGAACTTTATTAAGTTGACCTTATTCTAGTTAATTAATGATTTTATAAGGTTCACCGGTTCAAAGCTCTGCTGTTTCTTTCGTGAGTCTTTTGTAAGATTTCAGTTTGTAACACTTGAGAAATGTCTCCATACAGTATTAGTACGACTACAGCCAATCTAGTAACCCAAGAATTGTCAAATTTTCCTTAGGAATTAGAAGTGCAAGTTTCCTATTCTTACTAAGTATTTTCTCTTTCTGTTGTAGTTTCCAATTTAATATATAGTACAATAAGAAATTTTCCTAACATTGGGTCACATTGAATGAGAATGAATTATAATCGTAGCCTCACTATATGAGGTACGAAAAAGCGTTAAAAACGTTGAACATTTCTTGTTTGAGCCTGGTCTTTTGATGATAGTGATAGTTTTTTCCAACTGTAACCTTTTTTAAACTTTTTTGCTTTTATACCTGTAAAGCGAAATAACAAAAACAAGTAGTATTTTTGAAATTTGAAATATCGATTTTCCTGCATATTCTCTTGCCACTCCACAGTACTTTTATACCCTGCACAATATTTGACTTCAAAAGGTCAAACGCTTTTTTAGATATTCAACTATATGATTTCTAATTTAGAAACTTCATCGATATTCGAGAAAAGGAAAGGGATCCAAAACGTGATAACGACCACGGTCGATCTTTGATGAACAGACGAAATAACGAGGCAGGAAGAAAGGTGCATAGCGGAGCTTTCACTTTCGTTCCTAATAAATTCCATTTTGCAGTTTTGTAGTTCAGATTCTAAAACGTCATACGGCTCCGAAGTGCAAGTGTCACGGTGTGTCAGGAGCTTGTAATCTGAAGACATGCTGGATGCAGCTGCCAACAATGCGACAAGTTGGGAATATACTTCAGAATAAGTACAAGAATGCTATTCGAGTACAGGTCAGGATTTTCTACGATATTTCTAGAATTTTAGTTTGTATGGGCTAATTTGAATAGTAATGTACGTTATGTGACCGGGAAGCTCCGACATCTGCCATAAACGATGCATGCCAACAAATCACATCAGCACCGTTTACGCAGGCGGAGCCGATTGGTGAAAACCTATACAGTTCAACTGACTTTTCTAACCTAGGTGAATTCACGAGGTAACCTACAACTGGTCGCCGATCAACTTCCGAAGGATCCCGGAGGCAGAAGGAAGACAAGGGCGTTGCCAACTGACCTCGTTTTTATGGACGATTCGCCCGACTACTGTAGGCCAGACCGTGCAGCCGGGACTTTGGGTACACAGGGACGAATTTGCAGGTGAGGAAAGAAAAGAAATTGTAAAAAGTAGTAAGCGAACGGTTTGACGTTGCAAAGCGGCTGCGAGCCCTCATGTAACTGCTGGAGCGCGTGAGTTCCACTCACTCAAGACCGAGATACGCTCGCGTTCCGCGTCGCGGCCCTGTTTTATATGGGTATTCGCCTTCGTCCGGGACTAGCTTATAACACCATAAAAGCAAAATTTTCAGACGAGGTTCCGATGGAGCAGACGGTTGCGATTCGTTATGTTGTGGACGAGGCTATAACACCTACACTGTCGAGCAAACCACAAAGTGCAACTGCAAGTTTGAATGGTGCTGTAAGGTTGTGTGCCAAATGTGCACGAACACCACGCAAGTTGATATTTGTAAATAAGACAATATTTCTCTAATAAGCGTATTCGCAAGCCATACTAATTTGCCCTTCTTTGAAATAGGTGCTCTTACTCATCAAAAAAGTTTTGAATATGATTTTCTCACATGTTTTTGCTATCTGAGCATCAATTCCAACTCCCTGATCTAATTTGTATATAATGACTATGATTCTGATTGAAAAGCCAAAACGTGCAGTATTAATAAAGTGACCTCTAAGATTGCTTTACCCACTCTCCAAAAGACACATAATATAATTATTTGCATGTGCTGATTAGTAAACCTAAACAGATTTCTATGATCAAGACATTTGTATGCTACAATATGAGTAATCATTTGTCGCTTTCCGTATCTGGATATCCATCATGTTTTCTAGATAAATTCTGGTACTCTATGTTTGATGTGCTCTATATGGCGCAAAGATTTTGGTGTGTGCGATAAATGTGCTGTCATAGTCGATTGTGAATGACAATTAACACAGCTAGTGATTAGCTGCTGTTGCGATCCTGTGAATTGTGAACAACGAGGCACCGGACTAAAAACTCCTATGGCTTAGTTAAAGAAGTATTTACTATGCAGTCGGATCTTTTTAAATGTACTAAATGTAATTGTATTGTACTGCAATAATTCAAAATGTCGGGGAACTTTGCCCCTCAAGAAACAGATTGCCCTAGTCGTTGCATTCTCCTAGAAATCAGGCTGAAGCTGACGGCAACATTCTCAAATTTCAGAGGGGTCAAAATTTTTTGAGAAGAGAGCAGGGTGTTGCGGCTCGGTAGGCTCAGCATCGCTTTGCCTCGCTCGACTTCCTGTGCAACCTTGCACTTACTGCCTACAAACCCTTGCGCCGGTTAGCTACTCCGGCGCATCCGCCCCACAACCTGAGTACAAGACCCGCGGCTAGATTACATTTTATGCTTATGACAGAAGACTACATTAGGAAGAAACTAATTAAGCTACGAAAGCACCTAAACTAAAGAGAAATGAATATACGGGACGCGTCCGCCTCATCCCAAGCCGCCGACAATCACCAGACTGATTGCAATACATGATGTCAGGGAAATCCACCAAGGTCCGCCTCTTACAAGGGAACGATACTCGGTGTCCGTGGCCTTTTTAAATGAGATGTATACCATTACACTCGTCTTGGAACGGTGATTCCAAATCCTACTTCCGTTTCTGCTAATCGCTTCAAAGATGTTATCATAGATCGCGCGGTGTTTGGCTCCTCAGTGAAAATCCGTCGGAGCACCAATGTCATAGGTGCGCTGTGGCCTAGTGTTTAGTGCGATAGTCTCATGAGTTGATGCGAGTCTAGGTTCGAGTCTGTTTGTGTTTTTTAGTTTTGCGTTGCCTCAATTAACCTTCTTTCACATCCTCAAGTTAAGTGAACGCTCTTACTCTCGAAAAATGTGGAATTTTGGAAAAAATGACTACTGTTTGCGCTAAAATGTATTCAATGGTCATAGATCGAGTAAAGCTTTTTCAAACAAGCTTAATTGAGGCAAAAGTAATGCAAAAGTAAAAACGCAAAGGATTTGAACCTACATCAACTTATGAGGCTATCGCACTAAGCATTAGACCAGAACGTGGTCGCGGTAGAGGCCGTTCCAATGACCATATTTCCCTTGAGCGGCCAAACTTGGATCGAAATTCCTTCACAACTTCTTTCAGAGAAACGATTAGCAGAAACGGAAGTCAGAATCGGAATCAGCGTTCGAAAACGAGTGTAATGGTGTACATCACGTCTCAAAAAGCCACGGACATTGGGTATCGTTTCCTTGTTAATCGTCTCCGCGTAGAAAAGTTACGAGCCCCTCGGCTCCCGGTACCAACCTTACGCTAAAGCTTTATGCTTTCCCTGCGCGTCAGCGCGGCACAAATCAAAACCTATAACAATCACTTTGCTCAACCGCCAAAAGAAGACTTCATCCGCGGGAACTTCCTAAAGGAGCTGCCAAGCACTCAATAGAAAAACGTGAGAAGCAAGAAAATATCAAAACGAGGTTAGAAATTGAAGAGGCATATGACGCCGATTGCGCGGTCTCATATACCCTTCGACTTGGCAACGCGCACAGCGAGAAGAGGTCCAGGCGCGAATATAATATCTACTGCATGACGAAGGCGGTTGCCCAGATAGGTTGAAGGCTGTCGCGCACGTGGCGCGCGGGCAATTGTCAGCCATGGAGCGCACACACGCTCGCTCAGCGGTCATCCACGGAGCGCGGCGATACGACAGCCAGCCGCTGACCGAGCGTGCGCGCGCTACATGGCTGACAATTGCCCGCGCGCCGCGTGCGCGACAACCTTCAGCCTATTTGGGCAACCGCCTTCGTCACGCAGTAGATATTAATACCCCTCGATTCAGCAGCATGCAGTGCCCCGGCACTTAAATCGAGGAGAGGCTTGCATCGCTCGAGCCGCGACACAGGGCATCTTTTTTTTTACAAAGGCCGAGATCACATTTGTTTTTATCTTTATCTTTATCCCACAGTAGAATGTATCTGTTACTACAGATAAGGAAAAGGAACAAAAGCCATGCTTAGCGGCATTATGATGGTATTAACGAAGAGATGGAGGGATCAATAAGATATAAAAGCCTTTACATAATCACAGTAAGGCGCTTAAGTGGGGAGTGCTACCGCTCTTGTAGTTAGTCTTAAGTGTGTTGGAGTTGGGTATTAGTAGTTCGTACTAGGCAACTATCAGCGTCGTAAAACAACTTTAGATGCGCTGTACGATCAATAATAAAAATCAGAGTTGATAGACAAAGGAAAGCTGCTTGAGGCTGGCTTGACATTTTGACACCTGATTGCCAGGAGACCCTGCTAAATATCATTAGTAACAAGTTAATAAAACAGCAAGTGGAACATAACTGATGGAGAAAAAACAACACATTAGGACGTTTTGAAGTAAAACTCCAACGACGCCAATTCCCAAAGTACAACTTTTCAATATTTAGCAGCTGCCCATACAGTGACTTAGGCGGTCAACTTCCAATGTTTAACTGTTGCAGTGCGTACATGGAAGCGGAAAACGTAAGCCAGAACTGAAAGCTAAATGGAGAAAATGTCAAAATCTACCTTTTCCAATTTTTTATATTGCAAGGAAGGGATACCGAGTCGCACTGATGTTCAGCAAAGCAATGTGCATCATAAAAGTCCCTCCAGGATACGGATAACATATCTGCTTTCCATATCCGCAAAACGGTTATGAGAGAAAAGCAACGGACCCTCGGATCTACACATTTTGCCCTGTTTACATTGAAGTAATAATGCATCATCGGTAGAGGTGCATAAGATGCAGTTGTGAGAGCAGTTGGCTTCACCCGCAGAGTACCGGATTCAAATCCCATGCGTACCCATCGCTTTTGTGTCCAGCAAGTCTTCTTATTTTCACTATAAAAACCTTGAACGGATATGTTATCAGTGTCTTCAGCGAACTATAATAACGTTATTTCCTTGTTGATTCCAATGCGACTCGGTACCCTTTACTCTTTAGTTGAATGGGGAAGCACATTCGAAGGGCGTTGCAGCCGTATTTCTCCACGAAAAAAAGAATTAATGGCCAACAAAAACACCTCAAGGCCGTTTCTGGATTATAGATTGAACGAAAATAGTGTTGACTATAATAGTTGGTATGACTATAATAGAGTATAACCATATAACTACTATAATAGACTATAACTGTGACTATAATAGTTGGTATGAAAAGATCACTTGCTAATGGAAACATTTACTTCCTTGAAAGTTACCCGGAAACTCTAGACAAGATCGGCAATCAATCCGATGCTCCAAACTTATGAACAACCTGAGGCAGTCACTGTGACAAGAAATATCTTAATAAGGAGTTTGTATGTTCTCACACATGCCAAAAGGGCGCAAGCTTCTAAAGTTTTCTGTCTTTTTAGCGTCTTTTCATGATAAGGACTGCAAATTGGCAGGAAATTTCTGAGCAAACGTTCTGTACAGGCAAGCGAATGGAGGGATCAGTGAATGTTTCTTAAAAAACGACTTTTGTTCTCCTCCGAGAGCATAGTCAACACTCCCAAAACAATGTGCACACTGTTTGATCGTTAATTACTCTGTTGCTTTGAAATCTTTGGTAGAGCTGGATTCAACTTTGACAGTATGGGGTGAGTCGTCCATCTCTCTTCATTGCTGTGAGCTCACGGATCATCTTCGACAAAGATTTTAGGCCATGGAGGGTGCAGTAAGTCTTAGAATAAAAGCCCGCCTCTCACTTTCGATAAATTTCTACTTTTCAACAACGAAGTTATCCTCATTAAACGCAAGTTTTGATGTCATTTACTAGTAACTATCGGTGCTCTTTCGGTTCGAGTCTGCGCAGCTAAACTAATCAATTATTTAAACCAGACTGACGAATACAGCTTGAATGTGGTTTAACCAATTTCAGTGACATGTGTTCTTCAAGAATCTCATTCGGTTCTGCTGCTTCTTCTCTAGGATTCTTTGTGAAATAGCATGAAAATCCACACTATCACTTTTAAACACTTATAAAAGCATATGTACTGCCTAGAGTGAACTATACGCGTCATCCGTCTTGCTTAAACTCACTCCTTTTTTTCCTAATTATAGAAATTGAAAAGCGCGAATTTCTACTTGTTTTTCTTGTACTGTCTCTGTACTTTTTACTTGTTTTTCACGGCTCTCAAGTAGTGAATCCCGTACTATTTCGCTTCGCAGTTCTAAGGGAAGAATAAGGAGATTAAGTGTAAAGAAGCACTGCTCTCATTGTTTCAAACTAGCTCAGACATTTTTTCCGCGCGCTTTCATGAGCCTACCGTGCGAGCGGCGCGCCTAGATCTGTGGGCGTGGCATCGTTTCCGACGGGCGGCGCGCCATCGAAAACTGCCGTGCGAGCGGCGCGCCATCTTGAGTGACCGGGCGAGCGGCGCGCCATCAATAAACATGTAAGAACAACGAACATGTAACTTAACAAGACGCGTAAGCATCATTTTGAATTCGCTGTTAGCCGTAGGAGGTTGCATTTGTTATCGCATCTTGGTTGCTTGTCCGTTTTTCCGGCTAATCGTCTCCATTTTTTGTAAGTTTTATTTGATTCACATTTTACAGTCATTGTCATTCATGTGCTCCCTATTCAGTAGCATCTTAGCGTCCGTATTGCGTCCGCTATTCGGTTATCCGGGCCCCAAAATTTTTTGTCGTGGATTTCGCTCAAACTTGGTCCAGAGGGGTTATTTGACGTGCTGATCACGATTATCACCCTTTCTCCGCAGGAAAGCGCCTCCCTGCAGGGTTACGGTAGGTATACGATAGGAGGTCAGAATCATAGATTTGCCCGAAACATGGCCCAGAGGGGTTATTCGGCCCGCTGATGCTAAATATCACATTGGTTTTGAACCGTGACGTCATTTTCTCGGATTACGGTAGCTACACGTCAACGGGTGTGAAACGTAGTTCTGCCTGAAACGGGTGTACGGCGATTCGGACTATCGTGAAGCTTTGCACACACGACCACCGCCGTGCGCTACACACTCTGCCGCGGCTTTTGCCTAAGCAAAGCACAGGAAAAGATACATTTGCCGATTTGTGATTTCGACCCCTACCGTAACTATGCAGGGAGACGTTTTCGTGCGGGGTGGTTTTTTTGATGCCATCACCAGTTGTTTGCTATGTTTTTTCTTGATGTTACAATATCTTGAAAGATGTATAGTGCCGCGGTCAGTCTCAAGCGTAAATCTGGAGGATCACAAACGTATGCGAAGCCTAGACCTGTTTTTCCACCATGACTGGGTATGTTTGTTATCTGGTTTTATTACCTTCAGTAGTTTCGTTTTCAGTGGAGAGAATCCTTTTATGAAAAATATTGTCGAAGACGAAGGGGCACCCTCAGATATCCAGATGGAATTAGAAGTTCCACAAGGTTTATAGCTTTTGCTTTTTTCCTTTCTGTTATGTTTCCTAGACTTTATTTTTTCAGGTAACATGTACGAAAGACGCGAGTTTCATGTTCAAACTCCTCTACGAGGTGAATGTGAATGAATTTATGAATGTGTTGAGAACGGAATCTTGCACATTGACGGCCAGCCCGTCTAATTTTGTCGAAAATGCATCGCCAAGAGTTTAACGAAGCGGTCTGCTACGTAAGTACGAGTACATTGATTTTGATAAAACATACAATTTTTTTCTAGGAATTTATCAGATCCGATATCGTACTACGCGCTAAAGTCACGGCAGTTTGAATCGCATGATAGGATCGGACATCCACTCGCATGGCATATTGCTAATCGCATGACAGTACGGCTGCACTTTTTGGGATGTCATATATTCCGGTTTTTTGCTCGATCAGATCATTCTTACCGGTATCTAAAAGTGCTTTCTCAGTATCAGCATGGCTGCTGTGCTTTACGTGTTTTCAGACAGGGTGCTTAGCGTAAAAGGTATTGATGATATTATAGTTGTTGCCTGTTGTGTTCTGCTTTTGATTCTGTATTATGTCGTTCTGTAAGTCTTTGAATAATAAATCTGCCATCATCATACCTGTATACATGTTTGGCAATGAATCTGACGCTATGAGGTCGTATTTCAATGACGAAATATGAATTTTATCAAGGGATTGCTATCTGTATTACATTAGGGTCCTACAACGCTTTCGAAGGAGCGGGCGAGCGGCGCGCCTTCAGCGAGCGAGCCGCGTACCTTCATTCCACGGGCGGCGGGAGGCATGAGCGCTCGCACGCTCAAGGCGCGCGGGCCGTCGGAAAAAGTGTCTGAGTAGTACATTTCCAGACACAGCTACCGGTTAACTAATTACCACCAAAAAGTGAGCCATTCTCTAAAACAGTGTTAGTGATACCAACTGTGTACAAATATAAAGACCCAACAGCACTGAAGCTCATATTCAAAGCACACTTTCCACGGATGGCAGTGTTCCTTATATCAGCTACTACAGCAAAGGCATTCGTGAGTAATATCTTGTTTTAAACGTTTCAGGGACATCCGTGGGATGCAAAAGGGTTAAATATAACGCGGTGCAAAGCTGTCAAGATACTTGTTAACAAAAAAGACTTTCTCCCTTCACCATGCGAAGAAGAGAAGCAACGCTCTTATACGGCGTCTCAGCATCGCAAACATCCTACAATGCATCTATACCAATCTGGCCTAGGCCGAAACCTTGGCTCAAATTTGCGCCTTTACAGGGTAGGGGTTTCTGTAAGTGCGCGCACATGCATGGCCTGAGAAATCGAAGAAAATAAAAAATGGAAAGGTTCCAACACGCTTACCACCTTTAGCAAAGTAAACGTGGCGCAAAACCACGGCGGTGCGATGTATCGTACGTGGGCCTGATCTGTGTTGATACAGGCTGTGGTTGAAATGTCTAGATTCGAATAAATTTGCAAGACTCTTTCAAGAAAGCGAATGCCCTTTTTGATTGTGCAGTGGCCTCTAGCGGTTTAGCAGGTCAACGGTAACGGTAACCCGTTCTTTGCGAGAGAATGTGTCAACGTTGTATAAGGAACTTGGGCGGTATCTATACCTATATCCCATGATCATTCTGTGCTTCGTTGAATGTAATAAAAACTAACTGTAATAAAAAGTTCGTTTTCAAACCCTATGCCTTAAGTACTGTAACATAACATTCCTTGCCAGTCTTCTCACAGAGGACAGGGCCAATAACGTTATTATATGCCAGTGTCGCACTGGCTCTGCTATCCGTATGCCTTAATCATGCTCCCAAAATGATGACTTTGAAACTCACCGCGCGAGGCTGTTCATCATAGATAAATTGTAAATAACTGTTCATTCTTGAAGCACTTCCACATACGCTCGGTAATTTTGAGGTAATAACCTTTTCTTAAGAGAACACCTGCGAATTAGAATGGATTATTGAATTTGTTTTGTCTTGGCAATGCCATAAGGGTTATAGTCACTTTGAGCTACATTTCCGTGCAAAAATCTTCTCAAATTTCAAGGTAAAATCTTGCCAAATCAAATACCTACGCGATCACCGCTTTTGGCGCTGGTTTCGCAGAAAAGAAGTTTTTTGAGCAATTTTTGGGGTAGAATTCATGGAACGCAAATTTACTGTCAGGCAAATCATGATCTTGCAAAAAGTCAAATTATCAAGTTAGTTTTACGTGTCAAAAGCCGCGACCCGTTTGACGCGCAAATGAAGGACCCGCCGAACCGGCTCGTCCTTGTGCATGGTGGACCTACATGCTGCGTTATGTTATGCAAAATTGTAGCTTAATAGCTTGGCTGGGATGTAGAGCGTTAGGCGACAAACCCAATTTTTTTGGACCCCAAAGATCTTCCCGTGCAAAACGTCTCCTCCGCCAAAAATAGGGGGGTGGGGGTCGGGGCCGATACATTACCCGACGCCAATGAAAAAATGGTGCATAGTTTTGAGTTACGGAATTTACGTTGCTTGCGTTTTGCACGTTTTGTCGCCTAACACTTGCCCTCCGCTTGGCTGCAGCCCTCCATGAATTTCGTGACAGACAGACATACACACACACACGCACAAAAAGACAGACCTCAGCGCTTTATTATAAGTCACGTGATCAGCGTGCCACCACTACTTCGCAAAGGCTCCACCGACTCCACCTATATACTTTCCTCGTGCTTTCCTGAACAGAAAACTGCTTTTACACTTAGTAATGCCCATTAGATATAACATGCAAGCAAGTACTCATTTGAACATCTTAGCCGTGTAAGATCGATGATCACGGGTGGAAAAACTTCCGACCAGAAGAACAAGGCTGTCAAGTCGTGACACTTCCTTTTATGAACAGTAGTTGTTGCATGTCAGACTTCCAAGTAAAAGCTAAATAATGCATGAACCTCTTATTTCTCCAAGTTTTCAGGAAGAGCTTATAGAAATTAGTGATCCATGCAAACAACTTTGACGCCTTTTTTCCCTTTGAATAACTTCTTTACTTTTTGATTTATATCCATGGCATGTTGGCTTAATGAATCTTGGCCGCGCGTATTATGATTGTGGGTTAAAAATCGCACAACTTGAGAAACGGCGTTCAATTTTTATGCATCTTTCCTGTTGATTCAAAGTCCTAACGAATATTCAGAAGGCTTCAAAGTTTTTCGCGCTCTACCTTTCTTTCATGCCACAGAACTGATGTAGAAATATCAAATTCCGCGTTTCGGTGACATAAACGATGCATGCTTGATGTGCGCCGAAAGATAACCACACCCCGCCATGCCCTTTGTTTTTGAGACACAGCCTACTCACAATCTTGGTAAAGAATACTGCACATAAGAGCTCATTTTGATGGATATAGGCAGTATGGTCCCATTCGATGTTTTCTTAAAGCTCGTCCGATGGTCGTCGTACATGGCGAACCTATGGCAGCAGCTTGGGCTGCGTAACCCTGCTTGAGAGAGCGTCTACAGTCTGCCCCAATCCCAACCAGGCCAAAAATGGCATGGCGGGAGACCGCGTCGCTAGGGTTTCGCGGTCACGCCCACGGCCTGCTTCTCTGCCCTCTCTTCAATCTTTTTGCTCTCTCCAACAGCGCGCACATGCAGCGCAGAGCGCTAGCGCTGCGAGCGCGCAAATTTACGCCGACGGTTCGGCCTGATCCCGACTGGAGCAGACTGTAAGCAAATCTGACACAATCGCACGTCAAAGCTGACTTTGGCGCCTAACCAAGGCACTGCCAAAACGACAAAGCAGATGTTGCACTTGCACTCGAGTTCACCTTCAATCAAGACGTTACCGTCTCTGGTAAACGAATTGCTTCGGTTTTCTCGCTTCTGCTAAAGACCCAACGCCCTTGTGATGGATCCCGAGCAAGCAAGCAGGTCATTGGAAGTCGTCAGCCAAATACGGTTGCTGGATGATGCTTAGGCGCTTCCTTTAAGATTCTTTCTCTAGCTCGCTCCGTGGTTTTCGTGACAATATAATTCCGCATTAGGGGGTCTAAAAAACTTCGCCATGTGGCGCCACCCCACAACTACTGTTTTTATTTCACAAGAGCTGTAGCATACCATACGAGGGTCAATTTTCTGCGAAGGCGACTTCTAAGGCGGAGTTTGTTCGTCTACTCCACAAAGTACAATTTAACTGCCACCCGTTGCCATTGAATCATAGAATAATTCCGGTTTTTCCCTTATGCGCGTTAAAATCACTGCTCAAAATATCGTAGCACAGCGTCTGTGCGGAACAGCGTTCCGGAGTTCATTTATAAACTCCCGTGCCTTTTCTCTCATGTAGAGTGCTTTGCAATACACATTGACCTATTGTAAAAAGGGTGTAAAGTTGCACGAGACGATCAGAAGGCAAACAATATGCAGTGTTACTGAAGACAGCGTTGCTGAAGACATTAACCGATATACCTATCGTTTGCGTAGACTCACCATTCTTAGCTAGCTATTGTAAAAAGATGTCTAAGACTATTTATGGCAAAACTAGTTGGGCATACAGTGCACAACCACGACGCGTCCCACATAATCTTATTCCATGAAATTTGATTAGTTACAATACTTCTTAAAACACGCTACCTTTCTGACTGTTTTGGCATGATAATTCCTAGTTGACCTCAGGGACGGTATGTATCAATCTCCCGTGTGTTCGGGCGATCGTTTGCTGTAGAAAATGTTCGCCGGGAAGGGAAGGAGCGGCCGAGCGGTGATTTATGAAACTCGTGGGCACCTATCCGGACGGGCAGCAGCACACCACATCGCGAGAATGGGTTCTGCCTGCCCGTTATCAGCAGAAGGGCTTCGTTCTCTTTTTTGTCGTGACTTTTACCGTTGCTTCACACTTACTCAAGATCACGACAAACATTTGAAGATCAATAGCGATTTCGGAAAAGGTAGAGGAAAAAGCATTATCAAGAAAAGCGCCGATAAGAGGAAACTCCAAAGGAAACAGTTGCGAAGATATCTGATTCTTGATGTAAACTTACTTTCTCAAGGTTTTCTCACCAGCAACCTTACTGGATTTGGTCAACTTGGTTCTTGTCTTTTACAGGCTTCTACAAAATCTAGAGGTCCTCCATTTGCTGCTAAGATCACGCGAGTAATTAGTTGCAGAGTCAGGCAGGAGTGCATACGTTGCAATTTACACGCGTGGCAGTTCCAAAGCGAGAGATTCCAAGGAATCGCAGTCGAGCACGAACACAACGAGTCTACAAGGTGGATTCCGTAAAGTATTCAAAGTCGCAGCCCAATCATTTTCGTCGACAATATTAGAGGCAGGCATGAATGTAGACTTACCTGTAAGCTGCCAACTTTTTGTTGAATGGATGGCTACCACTTTGATTCACTAATGATCATCAAATCCATCAACTTGAGGTATACTCAGTCACTTTCACCTTGGTAACAAAAATAAAGACAAGCGCAGTGAGAGATATATGCGAAGTGTAGAACCATGCAAACACTTCAGCTTGAGATGAATTCTTTCATACAATCTAGGATTTTTCATACATAAAAGAACTCACGTCAATAGGGCGAAAGTTGCATGCGCTAGTTAAGAGCTTTGAGCGGAAGAGATGCAAAGAAACGCATGAATGCGTTACGTCAGCACATTGTCATTGATCCCAAACTAGGCAGACCGGGCTCTTTCCCGAGTAAATCAAATGATGCATCGCGGGTGCGGGCGTTCGTGCCCAGTCGGGGAAAACGACCCGGGCAGAGACCCTTGCCCGAGCGGGAGTTTGCATAAAGCGCCCTGGCAGTAATCATGGCCCCATCTGAACTTACGGATCACTCGTTTGAATGATTTCACTGTATCATCGCATTCAGATTCTTGCATTAAAAAACCCCAAATTGTCCTCCCAGAAGCGTTTTGCAGATATTAAAGGCAGATTTGAAAACAACGTTTTATGCTCTACAAGGCAGTATACATTTCAGATGAATATGCCATTCCGACCAAGTATCCCTCCCTTGTTAAATTTTTGTTCCATTTTATTCTTGGATTCGGATTCAGCGTGCGGAAAAGGTGCACAAAAGGACAAACTTTGGATCAACAATATGGATGGACTGTGAACAATGCTTCTGTAATGGATTGAAAAACACGATAATCATCCAGCTACCAATCTGTCATGACCGTGCTGACCTTTTGCACCCCAGCCACAATACTTGAGGAACTACAGACAGCTGAGCAATTGCTCTACATATTGCCTCTCCACATCTTGAGCGGGGTAGAATAGTGAGAAAACAAGAATAGCGCCAAAAAGAGCCAACACCGTACCATGGGTGTATTCCTTCCAAAGAAGACGTGATTTGCGACAAAGCGCAGACGTTTTGGGCTTTCTTTATTTTTATTATTCGCCGCCGAAGCCTCATGCGATTTCATGGCAGACGAATTCCCTTGCAGAGTGATGACTTGGAGTGCGAGACAAATACAGCCGGAAAAAAGCTCACAGACTTTTGGTCTTTTTTGCACATGCTCAATCGCCTTTTGAATTTACGAGTCAAAAAATAGTTTGGAGATTTTGCAAGACTGCAGCGCTCAATGGCCACACTTGACGTACCCTTAGCTTTGCTCATTTGACAACTGATGATCTTATTTTATCTGCAGGTTTGCGTGTTCACGTTTATCCAAACTGTAGCTGGTCTGCAAGGAAGAACTCGTGAACTTGTGTCATCCATCGTGGTAAGTTCGCTAGAATGTTCCATTTTTTAGAAAACGCTCTTATTCATTGAAGAGTATAACTAGGATAGAAGCCAGTGACAATCCAAGAATTTTATCGGGATGTGTTTGACGGAGCAAACCGTTAACACGTTTCGGACCGGTGCTGCACATGGTGCAGCACGCTGCTTTGAAGGATCTTTCTGGCGTTTGCAGGAGGTTTCCTTTTAGTCTAAAGTTGTTAAGTCAAAGGTCTAAGCTTCTACTTTTTAAATGATTCTGTAGAGTTGTGCCGCCGATATTTGTTTAGGAGATATGAGCACAAATCGAACAACAGTTGCAACGAAGTGCGGCGACGCGAACGGCGCGTGCAACGTCGCAACTTTCCTTTGCTTCCATTTCAAAGAGAAAAACCCTAGTTTCAATACTGATGTGTATCGTGTACAACATAGATACTTTAAAATATATTAGAATCTGAGTTCTTGTTCCTATCTTTCAAGGAAGCACAGAAGTCCCTCTCAAGCGACAAAATTCAAACATTTCGAATTCACTCAGAACTTTGGATATGGAGCTTATCTGACATGCTGATTACAGATGTGCCCTACAGGCTGCGAAATAAGGTCCCTTTGTAGGCTAACGGTTGAAAGTACACTCTTTTTCGCCGCCCGCGCGATTTCGCGGTCCGAAACATGTTAAAAATAAATTGTTGAGATGCTTTTCAACTTTTTGACGCCCTTCTCCTCGTTCCGTCATTGGTAGTCTCATTTAGTAGAAAATCCTAAACACTTCTTCAGAACAGAACTCGGTGCTGAACCGACCCAAGCTGGATATCGTTTTTGTCAGCGATACATTCAAATATCCTCACCGATTGAATCATCCAAGAGGGCTACTATTTACATGCTAACGCATTCTCGCGCAATGCGGATCGAACTCTGCCCCAAATGAATTTTGTTCACAACCCAAACGCAATGGTAGGACACATTCGATGTGCGCGCGCGTGGGGAAACACGAAGGATGGCCCTGATAACCGCAACCAACTTTTTTCCAACCAAGACAATTTCATGGTCCTATGCACCTACCCCGATGGCAATGCGCGCCCGTAAGCGTGCCAACGTGTGAATGTTTCATTTTACCGGCGTCTCTGTCAATGTCTTCAATTTGTATCGATGGGAGGGAAATAGGGAAGTGATTGGCGTAGGGGGGGGGGGGAGGAGGGAGAGAAGGCACGCTTCGACGATGAAGTAATGCGTTCGGAGCATGGCCAAGGGTATCGAAATCTTCTGATAATTTACGTAGAATAGATAGTAAGGCTTTTAGTTTTTTACCATTTACCACAGGGTTCAGCAACATCCCAAACACAGAAATAGAACAATAAAAAGTAGTGACGAGGGGGGGTGCAGATAGGTTAGGTTAGGGGATCAGTCAGAAGTTTGCAAGTGTTGACGGTGTTGAAAGTGTTGGATGTGAAAATCATTAGTCTTGTAGTTTCATTCTTCCTCAACCAATTTTCACCGGCTGATGAGTTTAGCAGATTGAAAGGTTAAATTAATAGTAGTGTGGATTGTTAGTTGCAGACTGAACTGGAGATTTAGATGATGTGAAAATCATTAGAATCATCATCAATCAAAATCATTAAAATCATTATCGTCAAACTCTTCAATGATTCGTCCAAATCTTATCGGAGAATCTTTCGCATGCAAGAGAACCTCATTCAACTCTTCGATAAAACGAGAACTTGTTTGACTTGGGCATCTCCAGCAGACGATTTGAAAACACTGCTAAAATCCAACGAGTAATGCTGTTTGGTGTTATATTCAGCTTCTGCGATTGGTAAGTTAAAGACCAGCTCAGCAACCTGCTAGATCAGTTGAGGAAGAATGAGTCTGCAGAACCAATGATTTCCACATTCAACGCTTTCAACGCCGTCAACACCATCAACACTTGCGACGCTTGCAAACTCTGACCAATCCACAAAGGAGCTTCGTAATTTTGATGATCAGAGAGATATGTCGTATGAATGCTAGATATATAACTTTGATGTGTAGTCGATTGATTGACCGCACGGACATCACTGCGGAGCACGCGCCGCGAAGTAAAATGCTTGCCCCAATACAAATTCGCCATTATACAAGTCGAGCTCTCGCAACATTTCTGCTGCGCCAGCGTTCCGCAGGTTGGAGAGTCCGTGCAGTCAACGAATCAACAATATATAACCTTTGATTTAACTGACTTGACGGCTGGAAGGCGGGGCTTTATGGCCTAATTAAGGTTGCTTGCGCCCGCAATGCAGTCTGATTCTCTCTCGCGCGCGAGCTCTCTGATCTTTATCTAGCCTTTAATAGGTCACGAAGCCCCGCCTTCTAGCCGTCAAGCCAGTTGAATCAAAGGGCAAATGCTCTGTGAATGTCAAAACTGAGCCCAGGAAGTGCTTTTTTAGTAATGTACCCTTGCCTTTATGCTTATGTTTTGACAGTCTGAAACAGCAGTACAGCTGCATTAAGTGAGCAGGAATGGCTAATGTTCATGTGCAAATCTCTCCATCTTTAAAGCCTTCTGGAATATCTGTCTTGGTTCCCATCAAATCTTTTGCATAACTAGTGTCAATAAATCAATTAAGGGCTTTAGTTACAATTACAGCTTTTCCGCCATGGAGCAAGAGCCCCCGTTGCAAACTACAGTGATGAGATAATGCGTACAATTTTCCGGAATGGGCTTGGACAGTTGACAGATGTTAGTGAACTATTTGTAATCGTTTGCACAGAAAAATTTTTACTACGCGACTACACTTATTCAGAAGGGTTTGGAGGGGAACAGAAAGATTGGAAGGTTTCTTAGGCAGCGTTATGTAGAAGGTAAAGATTTTTTGAGGGTCCCACTCCTACCGAAACAGGTAGGTTGGAAACACAGCGCAGCTTTTTCTTGTTTTCAGTTTTCACAGTACTTCAAAACATTTAAGGTTTACTTCCGCAGTACAGGCGTTGGACGTTGCTTAATGACGGGATTGGGCGTTGGTTCAGTGATGTTTGCTGGTAGCAAACCAGCAATGAGTGCTGTTCCAATTTACACTCAAGAAACTCGCAGCAAAGATGTGGATAATGCTCGTTCTGACCATCAGCGTATATAATGTTTTCAGCTCTTGCTGCGAAGCCCCAAAGAGTGTAAATATGAGAATAGAAGATTATTCAAAAAGTGTGGTAAGGAACCAGGACATTACAAGACGGTAGGCAAGGATAAGAATTAAGCTGTAGCCACTATTCTCAATATCTCTACCATTTAGTGGCCGGAATACGAAGCATTTGTGTTCGAATGCATGGGACTCAATGCTCTGACTACATTATTTAAAGAACCCGGATCTTTTGCCAAGGCAGAGCCAATGTATAATGAAGTAGGCGATACAATTTTTCAAAACGCTTACATGGGAAAGATACAGACGTAGCCTTGAACTGAATTGTATAGAATCTGCTCATCTGCTGGCCAAAGCGGGAACCGGCCCTTATTTCGAATAGATGTGAGACTTTGCAGGCTCCATTTCTCATTCCGAATTTCAGTTAGAGCTTAGATAGGGGGCATCTCAGACACACGCGGTTAAGTCCCGCCAGTGAAAAAGTTGTGTCCCGACGGAGTGACTGCGAGACACAAGAAAAATGATTCGCGAGAAAACCGGGACTTCTGCATTTCGTTCGGGATAACGCTGCGCGACAGGCGCTTTTGTCCCGAAATGCAGGAGCTGCTGTGGGAGACCCGATAGCGATCCAATTCACCAGCGGGACTCCAGCTCTAGGCTCATACACAAAAATCAATTAAGCTCACCGATACAGCAGCTTCGGAAGCCAAGTCCGAGTTCAGAATTGGATAACGCCAAGATCCTATCAAAAGTTGTCCGTTAGATAACATATTGACTCTGTTCTTACCTGAGAGCTTGGAAACACATCCAACGTTGTGGACATTGAAGGTAGTCTGACCATGAGTCCTATTTGACGCAAGTACCCTTTACGCTCAGACACTGGGAGCGGCTGACCCGCTTACCCCGAAATCGCGTCTCCCGATAATGTCCCGCTTCATTTTTACTGACGGGAACCCCGACTCTCGAGACAAACCGGGTGTCGCGCAAGACTACCGATTTTCTTGCTATTTCTCACCAGTGCGTCACCTCTGCTTCGCAGAGGCTCGCACTGGCCATATTTTCTGTATGCCTTACTCATTCCCGCCTAATAATGACATTGAAACTCACCGCGCTATGTAGGCTATCACGAATAATTCGTAAACAACTACTCATTCGTAGAGGTTTTCCATGTGAGTCAGTATTTTCGCGTGGATAAAATCTTTCCCAGAGAAACAGATGCAAATTCGAATAGTTTTTGGAATTTTTATGGCTTGGTAGTCGCCGTAAGGACAATAAACATAGTGGGCTACATCTCTGTGCAAAAATATTCTCAAATGATCAGGTAAAATCTTGAAAAATTGACCGCTTACACAGCGAATGCTTTTTGGCGCTATTTTCGTAAAGTAGTAGACTTTTCGTTACTTTTTTAGGCTAACGTCCATGGCTTGCACATTAGCTTGTCAAATATATCCTTAACTTTGCAAAAAGTAGTACTACGGTCCCAAATTTGCTGGCCAGAAGCCAAGTGGATCCGTTTGACGCGCAATTTCCAATGGATCCACTCAACGGATCCGCTCATGCTTTTGTATAGTGAACTTTCATGCTGATAGCGTGCGCTATGCAAAATTTGGGCTCAGGACGTTGGCTGGAACACGCTCTACGAATTTCGTGACAGACGGAGATTCACACACACACACAGACAGACAGCCAAACGTAAACAACCCTTAGCCCGTTATTATAAGTTATGATTTTGCGGGAGGATCTCCTGCGGAACTTAACCACGGATGTCTGAGATACTGTTACACTGCTACATAAGTCCAGTGGCCGTATTCATCAACGAACCCCGAGGGTTAAACTAACCCTGGAGGGTTAGTTTAACCCTGGAAAGCCTTTAACCCGTATTCATGAAACTCAGGGTAGACTTAACCCTGAGGGTTAAATCTAACCTTGAGGGTTAATTTTACCCCGAAAGCGACTAACCCGTATTCATCAACGAACCGTGAGGGTTAAACTAACTCTGGAGGGTTAAACTTACGTGATTCATCAGGGTTAATTTAACCCTAGATCAGAGCAAGGTTAACTCTACCCTAACACTTCATACAAACATTTACTGCATCTAACAGTTTATGGAAATCGATCAACGAGTATTGTAGTATTTAGTAATGATTGTTGTTATAGTATTTAGTTTCGACTTCGTTTTATGTTTATATTCGAAGTACATGAAACACTGACTTCACGAGAAAAAGAATTCTAGCTTTGGTGACAAATGAATGCGACGAGGAAAAATGGCATTCCACTCTGACAAGTGCCAAAACAGAAGAACCCCTTTATAATGACACGCGTTGACCCCTAAAGGTGTAGCACAAGCCCGGTATAAAACGAACTGCGCAAAAGTAGAACTTACACTGCACAATTGCACACATGAAAATAAACTCACGCTGTGATATTGGATGCTGCACAAGTATGCAGATGTATTATAAAAACTAGTGTTAGAAGCTTATTTGTTGACTGTACTACTATAACAGTAAAAGAATGGAAGTATAAAGTGAATTTAGCCCGTACTTAGGCATTCTGTGATGTGAGTTTGCACAGCGCACGCGTAACTGACGCCTTAACCCTCCAGGGTTAGTTTAACCCTCAGGGTTGATGAATATGGCCACAGGTTCGTTGATCGATACGGGTATATCGCGTTCCGTGGTAAACCCTAGCCTATGGTTGATGAATACGGCCAATGAACCCTGAGGGTTAAACTAACCCTGGAGGGTAAGCTTAACCCTCAGGGTTCGTTGATGAGAACGGCCACAGTAGCCTAAGGCAGTTCTCGGATCCCCTTTTGATGAAGCTAATTTGCCAAACGCGACGAGAGCGGCGCTAACAGTGTAAGATTTAGGCAGGATATAGACAAAGGCTACTGCAGACCAAACGGCGAAAACAGTTCAGTTGACCGGGCGCGAACCTGGCGCGCGCGTATCTTCACCTTGTAAGCCTTGCGCCTTATGCGCGTCGCGGCTAATAAAACCGAGTTTGCGCCTCAGGTTTTGCGCCTTCGTCCGGCAGCGTTCGCTTGCGGTTGCACATGCAAGCGTATGTTAGCCTGCGATCACAACCTGAAAGCAAATTCGCACAACTGTGAATGAAGTGGAAAGGTATTATAGTCTGGACCCCGGCCAGCTTCCCATAGGTACCTCCGCGGCGCACACGCGGCGCGCGCTCGCCTTGCTGCTTCTCAATCCTATTATGAGTAGTAAGCATTTCTAAATACAATGGGAGTGAGATGAAGAGTGGAAGTGTCCAAGCCTATCACGAAAGAAACCTAGGCAACAGTGTAACGAGTAAAACCTCTACTAGTCGCGGATGCCAGCCAGTCGCTGCGAGTGTGAGACTCTCCAATCATTGAAGAAGGTACCAAGTAAATCAGAAAGGACAAGCATCACTGGCAACAATTTTCACCTCTCTGTAGAAAAAAAAGTTAAAAATGTAAGCTGGAACACAAGCACAATGGAAAAACAAAGTACAGTTGGCTTATCGAAAGTTTCCACATCGAGTTAGAAACAACCATTATTCAAGAAACGCTTCTAATGGTACGCTCATTGTAAAGACAAAACTCTAATTATGTTCTGCTTAGAAATGATAAAAATCCTCACTAGTTGAAAAAAAGACCTTAAAACAAAAGTGCTCGGGGTTTCAGTGCACGTAAAAAGACATTATAGGCTATTGTCTATGGCTGCTGAACCTAAAATAGGGAGATTAGAGAGTAACAATACTAAACAGAAAAAAAAATCAAGAAATCTTCCCGAGCAGGCTGACTTGAAGGGCGCGTTGAAGGCGTGCGCTGCGGGTGCGTCGCGGTGGTACCTATGGGAAGCTGGCTGGGGCACCCACTATAGAAGAGCCGTTTTCGGACCATATTGCGGGCTTCAGGATTCACAGATGAAGGCAAACTCGGCGAATCCTCGACCTCGAAACTTTTTGCTTATGGGGTTGTTCAGTGGTCCCGAATCCAAAAGAGCGGGTAAGCCGATTTTGCCCGGACGCTGCCTTTAGACATATATCAACAATGCCTGTATTCTTGTACAATCACTTTAGGAAGAATGCCGTCCATAGGTATCTTAAAGGCAGCGTCCAGGCAGATCTGGATCTATGAGGCTTTTACGTGGAAAGTATTTTTGGGGCCCTAACTAAGGCACTACCCAAGCGGCAGCTCATGTAGTGCTCTAATGGCTGAGATATTCCCCTCAGGGCCCGGCACAAGGTGGGCAAGCGGGGTTTTCCAAAACGAATACCCCTTTGATCCCAGTAAGTTTTACGAATACTCCCTTGAGCCCAAAAATGACGTTTTGTGCTTGTGCGACGAGATTACCGGCCACACTTCGCCTAAAAGCGCTCAAAAGCGCCCAAATTGCTCAAATTCCTCATATTACTCAAATTGCTGTACCAAGATAGGAAACAGGAAGAAAAATAAGCAGTAAAAAGGATTAGGGAATGAGAAAATATCAAAGAAACGCGGTCATAGGAATGAGAGACGCCGTTCCCGCGCGCATCGATTGACTGGGGCGCGCTTTCTATCTTAGAAAGCTGGGCTGCTGATGCCATTTTGGGCTCCAACAATGACAAGAGGAGGAGTTTCGGAACCAAAATTTCACCATGTAGTAAACTTTAGGTGTACCACAGATTTATGTAAAAATTTTGAGAAAATTATGTGAATTGAGAGTTTTGCCGACCTCAGGTGGGAATTAGGTCGGCAAATGCCGACCTAATTTGGAAATAAGTTAAGGAAACTCTTCATTCACATAAGTTTTTCATAATATTTCATACTTTATTACTTAGTCCTATTGCGCATATACACACCGAAGCCCGCGCGATTTCGTTACCTCTGCGTTGCAAATGAGCCATTTTTCCATTTCTTTAATAGCGCAAAATTTCCAGAAAAAAGTTTGCCACAACCTTCAGTCACATAATTTCTCAATGAAACTCCTCAGTTAAGTCCTGCAAGCCCGTGTGCATGTACTTACCAAGTTTCATACCATATCGTTCATCTGCGCTTTCCAAACGAGCCGTTTAAATTCACAGTTTCATTTACCAGTTTTGCGAAATTCTCGGAAAAAATGCTAATTACTCGTTCCGTTCACATAAGTTTTTCATAATTTTTCATACTATGTTTCCACTAGCCTCTGTCCGTTCGCACACAAAATTTGGTGCCATATCGTTACACACACATTGAGAACTAGTCATGTTTGCAGTTACAAATAGCATCGCTTGGGCGACGTCGCGCGTGCGGCACT